GCTGAATTTTATTTTTTCTTTTACCAGGAGTTTGATTTTATCTTATCAACATTTGTTCTTCGCAATAACATTCATCGTAAAAATGCGCCGCATGAGCACAAGGAACAATGTATCACCATCAGCACAATGTATTATCATGAGCACCATTTGCAGTCACAACGAATATTATCATGAATAATATGAATATAAAGAACGAAGTATAATTCATATTTTCAACGTATTCAATTTACGAATGTTTTAGACGCGCTACCCTCAGAGGCGCCGCGTCCGAGTTCCTTCTCAACATCGTGAATTTTTTAGAACATAACATTTTTGTGATATATGTGTATTTTTCGTGATATTGGCATTTTATTTTCATATTATTCGTAATCTGCTTCGGTTCATTACTTTCAACCTTCGAATTTTGATCATGTCTTTGAATTCGGTTTGATTTAGCCAGGAAATGTATCGCTCTTAACTGCACCAATAATCAAAAAGGTTAGCGTGTATAATGAAGTGGCTTCACAAGTTAAATTTTAATCAACAAGCTGAAGATCAGAGGCGACATAAACTAGAAGCTTCTAATATCATCTGCAATCGTGAAATTAAGACTCAACTACTCAAATTAATTTCTAATTACCTCATTTATAAACGTGGCATTTTTTATTTAAATATTCCGTATCAATTAAGGTTCAATTTCTGGTACGGCTCAAGCACGCACAAGCAAACCAAAACACGATTTCCTATTACAATTTTCATCTATTTTATGTATGGAAAAGTTTGAGCTCTATAAATTTAGGTAAATTAGTTGGATTATCTTGGATACCAGAACACTCAAAAATACTTGGGTTCATCGTTTATTTTAGGACAATTCTTAACTCGGTTCTCACGTCTACGACTAGCAGGTTCAGGTTCAAACTTCAACTGTGGTCAGCCTACGACATTAGATACGAATATTTTTGCTTAAATACTGAAAAACACATTTGCGTACACTTAAAATAATTACGTTGATCGTAAGTTCTACTATCCCAAAGTATTGTTTAAAACTGTGGTTATGTAGCTCAGTTAAAATATGAAGTACGACAGATTGATGTCCAAATGTTTCTGGGTGCGGTCCCTTGAAGGAAAAGGCGAAACGAAAAGAAGTTAAGGCGAAACGGAAAGCAGGTTAAGGCGAAACGGATGAAGTTAAGGCGAAACGGAAAGAAGTTGAGGCGAAACGGAAAGCAGGTTAAAGGCGAAACGGATGAAGTTAAGGCGAAACGGAAAGAAGTTAAGGCGAAACGGAAAGCAGGTTAAGGCGAAACGGATGAAGTTAAGGCGAAACGACAAGAAGTTAAGGCGAAATGGAAAGCAGGTTAAGGCGTGTGTATATCATAGGGCAACTCACTCCGTGTTGCATTGTGAATATAGCTTTTTTAATTAAATTCTATTTAATCCTGAGGATACCTAAGATGCCCAGAATCCCGCTTTGATACCCGTTGTCTTATAACTCATACGATGTAAGTTGATGGAAGGACGATACGTGTAAATATCTATTTCCAATTTGTATCCTAGTGTTTAAAATAGTTTAATATGATAACCTGTGAAGCCGACACGGTTATTTCGTCATTACTACAGCACGTTCTGCTTCATGAACGTACTACTCATTGTTACTTGCTTATTCGTACCTACCATTTGCCTTTCGTGTACGTGTAAAATGCTGTTAAAATAACCACGTTTTCACAGTCCCTTTTTTCCAGTTTGGCGTTCATATGCTGCGTTCTATAATTTAATGATCGCGTGTATCGTTTAATCATTTATCGTTCGTGTGCTAAGCTCAATAATTTAACGTTCACGTATTAAGTATATCACTTTAATGTTCAGGTGCGGCGTTTCTTAATATATCGTTTGTATGCAACGTAAGGTAATGTTTGTGTTTAGATATAACTTTTATTTGTTGTGAATGATTTCCAAGTCCCGAATATAATTAACGCTCCCCCATCACTTAGTATTTATTATCTTCATGATGCGCAACGCAAACTGCTCTTTCTCTCGCTAGTTCGTTCAAGTCCAAATGTTTCTCCAGCGATTACTTTAGCTCCAACTTTAGTATATTTTATCATGAAAGTAACCACACCAATAAATCCGTATATTTTCATTGTTTAGAAATACAAGCGCCATCTTACATCTTCTTACGAGATAACACCTATCATGCGGGGGACAACACTATGCCTATAAAGAGGTTGTGGAGCTAGTCGTGGGTTCGAGCCTTGAGACGCTCAATTAATTTTTCGGTGCAAGTGAGGGGGCGGAGCTTGATGGCCGTCGAGGTTGGTGCTTCAGCACAGCCTTGGTTGGTACCTCGAAACGAACTACGGAGAAGTGTTACCTTGGGGACCTTTAGGTCATGGAGTCACCGGGGCAGTTCCGACACGTCTATGCTGATGGTACCAAACTTGCCACATTTCTGCGTACCAAACTTGCATAATTTTTATTTCCGCATAATATTATACAGCAGTCCGACGAGACTTGTAGAATATACTGCTGGGGATAAGGGCAGTATGCTGCTAGCCCTGAAACTTAAAAAAAGATATGGTGTTTTAAATAACAGTTCTTTGTCAATAAAAAAAATTCTCAATGAAAGTTTTGTGATTCTGCGGTGCTCTTTGTCTTGTCACAGCTTCTTCCATTCATTGAGTCTGGGTAAACCTAACTCTTGAGTGGGGTTCACATTGAGGGAGTTCTTACCAATTTATTTTGCATCATAATCTTTTTTATATATTTTCGAGTTCTCCATTTAAGATGCACGCACTTGTTGGGGCGTTACTAAAACTAATTTCGCATGATTCTGGTCAACTCTAGCGCTAAATATAATTAATTTCATTAGCTGTGTTTCAGTATTAATAAATGACGGAATGTTTGATGAAAAAAAAGTTAATTTATCCATTTCTCAGGTGGCTTAGATTAGCGTTTCAGTAATCAAATTTATCATAAAACTTAATGATTTAAATTTTATCAGTAAAACGAATAACGCTTATTTTCCTAACGTATGCATAACAGCTGCTGCTTACCATACTTCATAATTATAACTTATTAAGTATGTTAAGTGATTGCCTCTTATTAAGTGAGTGCCCCTTATTTACCGTGTGGTCAAGTGATTGTTTCCTGTCTTTTAAAACAATCCACGATTGTATCTAGATTAAAAGTAAGTTAGTCTCTCGTGCATACCATTATATCCTTTAACTCTTCTAGCGGCAGTTTGTTTCTTTTAATATCTATGAACGCTCGCCATAAAAATTGGCTTTAATAATAAACAGTTCCGTGAAATTCTTATTTGAAAAAGAATTTCAATACTGGAAATGGAGGGAAGAAGCACGACGAAACGTCAGAAAAATTAGTGGCTCAGATTGTCTCAATAGTGACGCACTTTCTACATGTGGCACTGATCACGTTCTTTTACTCTGCAAAACTGAATCATGATGGCCTGATCCACACAAGGGCAAGAAGTGCATCACTAGTTGGACAACCTCTTCTCGAGTGCATGGTACCGAACCCTAACAAAATTTAGAGTCGCCCCAGCTTCTGGTACTCCAAATCAGAAGCTGACGCGTCTGTAAATTTTCACTGGGTAACAAAATTTAGAGTCGCCCCAGCTTCTGGTACTCCAAATCAGGAGCTGCCGCGTCTGTAAATTTTCACTGGAAAGCTGACAAGCTGCCGCTGGTGGGGTTGAACCCTGGCTTGTTGTTATACCCTGGCCGTGCTCAAACTGTTCTCCCCGGCCCCCTACTTCAATTGTTGTTTCCAGGCTTCATTGTTCTTACAATTATAAACACAATAAATGGGAGTGTTGAGCTCACACGTCTTCTTTTATCCTTATTATAAGTGTTCGTCGCTTAAGGTTTTCAAAGTTGATTTGTTAGTCATTTATGGCTTGTTTTGAATTTGGTAGGTTCCATAAAATTAAATAATTCGAAATAATAAATTAACTAATAAGTTTCAATATTTGATACGAATATGAGCACAAAATTATAGGATCAATTATAATAAGACAAAAGTTAGAGTCCTAAAATAACTACAGTTTACTTCGCTCACGGTTTCGACCGCTGCCATTCATCGAGCTCTCTCCGTTTGATGACATCGGCTTAAGAAGTTCTATTTTAAGTTCTGTGATTACATTTTCTTTTTAAAATATTTTTGTTGTTTTTTCGTGGAATTATCAGAAGCTGCACATGAACGTTCAAGAGGTCAACAAGCAGCAATTTTTCGAATGCGATAGCAAAAGTCCACTGTAATAAATAAATGTGAACAATTACGAACCGTGTTTGAAGTAAAGAGGCAAGAAATCTCTTAATCATTTTCATACTTTATTAGTCCTTTTAATGCACATTAATCACTTGAAGATACCTTGCAGGTTGACAGCTCTGCGCTCGCTTCGTGTACAGAACAGAAATGAACTCCGCTACACAAATAAATAAGAGACTCAAATGACCAAAACACATCAGAGTAAAACATTCGTTATATACACAAATTTAGGAGGCTCTGTTAGTAGTTATTTAAAACTAAACATAAGTCATCTATTTCACATATGATTTCAATATAGGATAATAATATTGCACGAAAACCCTTAGTTGAACTGGCTATCCTTTATCTACAAACTACACATATATCCATTGACTCACTGAATACGTAATTATTCTGCGTCGATAACCAAGATTAAGACCAGCGTAACGTAAAGGCTAACTAGAACATCCAGTCGTCCATTCATAAGAATTAATGCAGCAAAAATACGATAAACAAATTGCAGAATTCAGGAAGTAGGGGACGAAGAAGAGAGGCCGACGAGTGACATGCGGAGGAAAAAATTCTATGAGATCTACGGAAGAGTAAGTAAGGGAGAGGTTGGGTGATGGGCAGAGCTGGGCAGCGCTACTTTGAAATGTAGCGGCCGCTACCGCTACCGCTACATGCTCTAAATGTAGCGGGCGCTACCGCTACCGCTACAATTGCTTAAATGTAGCGCCGCTACCGCTACCGCTACTGAAAATGTAGCGGCCTTCAGGTAGCGGCCGCTACATGTAGCGCGCTATTGCCCACCTCTGCTGAAGGGTAAGGGAAGGGAGAAGTGGGGTGATGGGTTGGGAGCGAGTCGTGGGTTCGAGCCTCGGGAAGCCCAGTTCATGTCTCGGTGCCGCTGCTGGGCGGCGCTTGGTCACCGTCAAAGGTGGTGCTTGCAGCTCCCTAGACGAACTTTGTGTGCTTGTTGCCTGAGGATATCTTAAGATCTTTGTGTTAAGATTAGAAACTCTTAACACAAAGAAGTGAGAGGCGACTAAGAGACGAGGAAGAGACGGGGACTAAGAGACGGGGAGGAGACGGCGACTAAGAGACGGGGAGGAGACGGGGAGGAGACGGCGACTAAAAGACGGGGAGGAGACGGGGACTAAGAGACGGGGAGGAGACGTGAGAAAGAGGAGCGGGAGGAGGAGACGGAGGAGCTTGAGGAGCCGCTGGTGCAGGGGCGGGAGGGCCGCAGGGTGCCCAGGTCGGGGCACGACTCGAACGCCACGTCCGCTGAGAAGGGCGCCGAGGGCGGCTTGGAGGCATCAAGGGCACCGCATGAGTACCTGAGAGGGGGAAAACAAGGCCTTGATAAAGGACTGAAAATTTCCCTTATTTGTCCCACGAGAAGAAAAATTAAAAAAATAAACGCACAGTCTAGTGTTTAGGGACCGTAACGCTGGTTAACAGGCGGACGGTTAACTGGCCGTTCTGTACACAAAGCATTGACGACGTTATATGTATCCTAACACGAAGGGTTAAATACAAGATGAACTTATATATTCCACATATTCAGCTAATATTTATATTAGCATGGAAATAAGAAGCAAAACTGTTGTTGAATGTCGAGCAAGGACTACTACACACAGGACATGCACGCTTTGGTTTCAGTGCTTGCTAGCGAAGGCGAGTGCTTTCGCGTCGTTCCCCGGTGACTCATCGTGTCGATTTCGCGTAGTGATCTGAGCTAAAATAATGTCAATATTCTCGACCATTTGCCATTCTATTTTGTATCTCAGCATAATCCTTGGAAGTCAACATCCACAGGTTGCTCTGTGGGCATGGTATCGCATGTTTACTCCTTTAATATGATTTTTTACATTGTAATACTATTGTATGAAACAATTATGGGCATATCATTTGTTGATGCCACTAAAACAACAGCATTTTCATAGTGTAGGCGATCGCCTCTGCTAGCAGAGGCTGGACATAGGCTATGCATGTCCTGTGTGTAGTAGTCCTTGATGTCGAGCAAAAAATTTAACTCATTTTTATACTAGCATATTTTTTAGTTATTCAGGTAATTTTAATATTGGCATATTTACATTAGCATAGGTATTATTCTTTTATATTATCATATAAATATTAGAATATCTATTTACATTATTTATTAGGAAATAAGACGTGAAACTAAATGTGGAGCAGCAGCGCACCTGTTCAGAAGTTTCTCCTTGCTGGGCAGGTGTCGGCGTGCACGCATGATTGAAGATAGCGGGGGACCAGTGGGTCTAAGCTCCCCCAGACCCTCCTGGTCCTCCCCCCTGGTCTCCACGAGAGGTTGGGGCAGCCCTGGGCAGGACTGTGCCCTGTAGAGTCCTTCCTCCGTGCCATAGGGCGGCTCGCTGCGACACCGCGCGGCCGGACCCATCTCTTCTTCAGGAGCGGGACCAGCAGCTACCACGTAGAACTGGGACATGTTCTTCACTTTACGCGCGTATGAGGAACTCGTGGGACCAGAGGAACCCATGGTGGGACCAGAGGAACTCATGGTGGGACCAGAGGAACTCGTGGTGGGACCAGAGGTCCGGGAGACGAGGTCCCGGGGTCGGGTCTTGAGACCGTACCTGGAGGAGAGCTCGGCGGTGCAGCGTCTTATTTCGCTGAGCTCGCTGGTCACGATGCTCTCCATGCTCTGCAGCAGCTCCTGCGCCAGCCGAACTCCTGCCAACCAAATCAAATTCAATAATACAAATTGAATTGAACTTAATTCAATTGCAGTTTTCAACTGCAGAATATTGAAACTGTCAAACTACGAAAAAAACGTGTTTTCCTCTGCATTTAAAATTAGTAGATAATAGAGGAAGATTTTCTAGAAGACAATCGTTATAGAAACAACAAAATCAAATTCAATCGTAAAAATTGAATAGAATTAAATTTAATTGCAGTTTTATACTGTAAAATATTAAAACTGTCAAACTACGAAAAAAACGTGTTTAGCGCTGCATTTAAAATTAGTAGATAGAAGAAACGATTTTCTAGAAAACACTCGTTATAGAAAGTGTAGATACAATTAGTGAAGCACTCAGACATGAGGTTAATGGCAAGGAATTTGCAACAATTCATCATGACAGAAAAAAGCCACTCCTAGTAACGTGCAAGTTTTCAATGTAGAAGACGGGTGAGAATATATGCAAACACATCCTCTAACATCGAAAAGAAGAATATATGAGCCACGTGATACATTTTTCGTGTTAACAACAGTAGATATGAATTGAATGCACATAAAAAACGAGCCAAACAAGCATTGCGAAAAAAAAATCGTTTCCTCGTTAAGCAGCAGTAGAAGAGCAGCAAGCAATAAATTAGGTAGAAGCATCTCAGGCTGATGGGATTTTTACTGCTGATCAAGTAGAAGCTGCAAATAACATCAAGTAGAAGCTGCAACACCCTTGTTGGTGCATCAAGGGAAATTAAATACTGTTCCATCAAGGTAAATAACAAGGCCCAGTTAATTAGCTCAAAACAACGAAATATCGATAAGCATCCTGTATGAACATCCCCGTAACTCTACATCGCGTGTGCCGTCTTCACTTCATTTGATGGTCCAAACGAAACGTCGAAAACTTGCTCAGTGAAGGATTGATGAGGTGCATCAAACGGCGGTGAGGTGCATCAAGCGTCGGTGAGGTGCATCAAACGTCGGTGAGGTGCATCAAGCGTCGGTGAGGTGCATCAAACGTCGGTGAGGTGCATCAAACGTCGGTGAGGTGCATCAAACGTCGGTGA